CATGCATGGCTTGATTCTGGGTGAAACCTAATGGTTTCCTCTCCGTTGCTGGGAAACCGGCAGCAAGTCCCCAGGCAACCAAATTTAGTGGACAAATATCCTGTTATTGGCTGAAAGGTGGCCTGTGTGGGCATGGAGCCACTAGGAGCCACAAGGAGGACCTCCACATGTCCCACCTCCCCCACCTACCCCAGCAGGTTCGGATGGTGGAGAGGGGATTTCACTGGGTTTGGGGAGTGGATTAGAATATGGCCTGGAGCCAAAAGGTAACTGAAGAACAATGGCAGGGGATCCCCTCGCTGACCGAGGTCTCCATGCAACTGCATGAGTAGTATGTGCCTAACTGCCTCCTTCAAGGTCTAACTCATGACCTTTCTCTTTGACTGCAACTTTGGTCATCTTCCCCACCCCACCCCCTCACCCACCTTAATCCAGAACAAAGGGGTATGATCTTAAAATTAGAGCCAGGCCATTTAGGAGTGAATTTAGGAGTCAGTTTTGCATCCAAAGGGTAGTGGAAATCTGGAACTCTCTCCCCCAAAAGGCTGTTGGATGCTGGATTCATTCACATTTTCAAAACTGAGGTCGACAGATATTTGTTAAGTCAGGGTTTTAAGGGATAGAGGGCAAGCGCAGGTAATTGGACTTAATTGGGGTATAGATCGGCCATGATCTTATAGAATGGCGGAACAGACTCGAGAAGATGAATAGCCTACTCCTGTTTCTATGTTTCTAACCCACTCCTCCCCATCCAAGTCCCAGCTCAGGTGGAAATCCTTGACTGTTTACGCCTTGTGATGGCCTCCCGATGTAAAAAGCGCAATATGAATGCAATTTGTTGCAGTGGTTGAGTTCTGCTTTTGTACAACTTAATATTCCATATCGTAATATTGGTATTGTGGTGAAGCTCAGGTCAGAGGAATCCTGTGTGTCCCCAATGTCTCTTGAACACAAGGTTTATTTTTGCATGAATAGCAACACGTGTCCTTCTGAAGCCAGGGATGTCGACTGGGGTCATTTTGCTTATAACACTCAGTTTTTAGAATCAACGGGGTACAGTACTACCTTATCTGTATGGTTTTGCTCCAGGTACAATGGGTGCTCTGAGAAATGTTGCCACATGAACCACTGCATTTTAATATGAACATTTATATCTGCATGCACTACTCTTGACATGTGGGCAAAATGTTTTGGTAAACAGATTGATGAAATATTGTAGGAGCGGATAATAGCACAATTGAAAACACTAGACAGATGTGCTGTGCACTAGCATTTTTATTTACAATGTGTGCCTGCTTACATATAAGCCGATCAAATGCTTTTTCATAGATTGTATCTCACTAGAGATTAGAATGTCTGGAGCGTTTGAAAAGGAATGGTGTTAATTCTCTTTGATTAAAAAAGCCTAGAAATACAATATCCTGAAAGAAAGCATCCTTGTGTCTTGGCTCCGGCATTGAGTTTGTTGCAATTCTTTTAATTACATCATTGAGATTGATTCATCCTCTGAGGAGTTCAGTAGCAGCATTTCTTTACTAAAAGAGGGATCAAAGAGAGCCTCATAACAAATAGTCCTTTCAAAACTAAAACCCTTACACAGAATTACAATTAATGTTGACTACTTCTTTTGCTATTCAAATGCTTATCTTATGAATATTAAGTGGTGGCATAGTGAGGTCGCCCAGCACATTGAAGCTCCAATCCCACTGTGGCCTTGAAGTAAAAGACTGAGTCCCTTACACTGGTTTCATGATCTGAGCTGTGCTGTCAGGAGACTGTACAGAATAGAGGCCAGGCACTTCTTCACTGTTGAAAGTCGATGATATTTGTTACTAGCTTGAATGCTCTGAATGACATTGACTGATTATTGTTTTTTTCTCCTTCTTTGTACAATGAGTTGCAAAAAGAGGAAGAGAGATATCTCACAAAAATACTTAGGAGCAATAACTTCATTGTGGGAATTGCAGGAGTTGCTGAGTTGGACTTCTCTATGCAGGTAAATTAGCATGTAGTTAAAAAGATATGACTGCTGAAGCACTTTACTTAATAACTGCAGTTCTGCTGATATCAATTTCAATCTCTCAGGTTGACCAACTCAGTAAGTTAACCAGAGCAGTTCAACAACAACAGCACCTTTCATGGTGGGTAGCATCTCGGAGAGCTTAACAATGGCGTTGTTTGACATTGAGCTTGGGAGAAAGGGAAGTGGCCATAAACATGGTCAAAGAGTAAAGTCTTCAGTTGTTATCTGAAAATGGGCTCAGAGGGGACAAGTTCAAGGGATTGAGGCAGGGAGCTCCAGATGGTTGGGAGGTAATCGCTGAAAGCACAACCATCGACAGTGAAGCAAGCGATCCAAGGCCGCGCTGAAGCCCATAGCCAGCTGAGCAAAGGGAGAGGGTAGAAGAGTGGGGTGTGAGCTGATCAGAGAAGTAGGAAGTTGCAAGAGCATGAAGTGATTTGTAGGCAAGTGTGAGGATCTTGAAATTGAGCAGTTCTGCGACAGGAAGCCAGTGGAACCTGTCAAGACTGTGGTGCTGTGGTGCAGAGATTGGTACATGCAAGGATAAGGTCAGCAGAGTTATAATAATAATAATCCTTGCATTTGATATAGTGTTTTTCACGTCTTCTAGACGTCTCAAAGTGCTTCACAGAATATGCTGTAAAATGAATTGACCATATATTTGTGGGCGAGACCGTATATTTGTGGGAGTTTTAAATTAGTTGAACATTGTGAATGGCTGAACTGGGGAGATTGGCAAAGAACACATTTGGAGTCCTGGTTAGAGCGCTCACCTCGTAAGCGAGAGGACCCGAGTTCAATTCCCGGGCAGGTTAGGCAAGTTACTTACTTCATAAGCCTCTTTTTACCTAGCAGTGAGTTGGAACCCAGTTGTTAGTCGATTAGCAGATTGCTTTTCTGGGGTTAATAATCCCTTAAAAAAATGTTTTTAAATAAAGGTGACAAACCTGAAGAATAATTTAAGGAAGCCCAGTCATTGGATGAGTTATAGCTGGAGCTACAACTCATTTCAATTCTAGAAGAAATGGGATGAGCCAAAATTCCCTGCAATGAGATTACGACTGAACATTGGTCACTAAAAATGGCTGTCTTTTCACTGTCTTTATAATAAGAAATCCCTTTGGAATTGTGATGCTTTATATTTTTTCTTAACCCAGCAACAAAGTGTTCATTAGATGTGACAAGAGCACAAACTGAAAGATGCACTAGATTTGTTCAGAGCTTCCGAGGACAAGCACACTCCAGTCACATCAAAACAATAATACACATGTCAGTAACAAAGACAGTAGAATATCTGAGTGGACAGCATTGCTGATTGTATTTAGTTGATGCACAGGGCATGTTTTGTAATATTCGATGAACAATATAATTTAAATTTGGTCTTAAAATATCATGAGAGGTAAGGAACCACGGAAATAATTGCAATTGAAATGAACAGAGAAAAGGAGGTGCAGTTGTTCCAATATTGAACATAGATGAGATCCGGGAGTTCAGATGGCAAACTCATTGTTTGTGCATGAGAGAAAGGATTATCTGCAGTAATTGGGACCAGCCCCTTTGCAAATAAGCAGACATCACACAACATATAAATTGGCTAGAACACCAATTAAAAATTGTTTCATCCGGGGTATAGCACCACATACTGCCAGCCCTTCTCTTTCTCTGACTCTCTCCCTCTACTTTTGTTCTCTTTTCCTCTGTATTTTTTTCTCTCTCACTCTACTTTATTTTCTCTCTAACACTATCTCTCTCTATGACCACCCACATCGGAGCCTCATGTGGGTAAATGAACAGTCAGATAAATGGACGTGCGAATAAACAGAGCCATACTGTTCTTTGTCCTTAGTACAAGATGGTGAAGCCGCTTTCTAGCTTTTAAACACATTGGCCTTGCCAACAATCTTCCAGATGAATTGATCATTCACATCATAGCTGTTTACAGGATCTAGCTAGTGCAATTGGCTGCCACATTTGCCTACAAAAACATTCACGTCACTTGCCAATACATACCTGCCGAGGATTTTGCAATGTTACAACTTGATAAGTTACAATTTATAGCCACACTAAAATCTTCCAAATGTTAAAAATTGTCTCAGGTTTCACATTTCAAAAAGTAAAATTATGAAATGTTGATAGTCTGTTCCTTTAGCTCATTTCACAATTCTTTCAAACTCAAACACAATTGCATTATTTGTTATATAAGACAATTGTGAAGTGACAGCACAAACACCTAGATTTCAGCTAGACATCCTTTCAAAGGGCAAGAAAAATGCCGTCAAGAGATCAAGTGACATTTCACATCAGAACACAAATGAATTGACCCTATTTGACCAACCCTTTAGACCCAACTCCACAGATACCCATATGAACATTTTCTAGGGCACTTCCTTTTACTTGGGCAGGAGATGATGTCTATCTGCAAATAAATCATGGTGCAAAGTGAAAAATGTCAAACCCGTCCAATTTCTACAAAGTTTCTTCAGTTTTTTTAAAAGGCCCAAAGTAGTAAAATTCAGGTGACTTTCAACATTAGATTTATCACGTATTTGTAAAAGCAGCATCATTATTTTGCCTCCAAGGGTCAGACTTGGGTCATACACTCTGGGTACTGCAGTAATGTAGCATAAACAATATATTCATGTCCTTTTGCATCAATAAATGAGCAGAATGTGTAAAATTAAAAAAAAGATTATAAAGAAACAAAAGCACAGAGAATCGCAGAGTTGTCAAGGCATTCAGACAGCAAACATTTGCTTAGTTAGTGCAGACCTGTCTCCCACCTCTTACATGCACTTTTACTGCATAATTAAGAAGGTCAGAATTAACGAAGCTGTGTTGAATAAAGTTCAAGAAATCCCCTGGTACTGTTTATTCTATTACATCTCAGAAATGAATGTCAGATAGGCGAGATTTTAGAGCCATGAACCACAGAGTTGGCAACCTCCCAAAATTAAAAAAAAATCCAAGGGGAACTTACCTGCAGTGTCAGGTCATTGCTCAGCTCCTTTCCAGCAAAGATCACGCGTAACTGGTCAGCTGGAACTTCTTGTCTCTTAGCAACTGCCTCCTTAAGCTGGAGGATGCTGGCATTTGCATCAAGCTCCACTGGGAATCCATGGCTTGAATTGAACCTAACAAACACTGACCCAAAACACCAAATTAACATTTGATAGATCAATACTTGACACAGAGTGCACAGTATATTAATCTCTTGGCCCTTTGAGACATTTTTTAGGATCTGCAAAAAATATATTTTAGTGGAAAAGTGCCGAATGAGGATTTGGCTTTCTGGGCTGAGGACATTTCTACACCTACCAGGGTGCCTTGTATTGCTGTAGACTGTCTTTACCATCTCATTGATACCGATTCATCCCCAGAAAGAACTCAGCCCTAAGAGCAGACCTCTAACAGCAGCATAGTTGGGATTGGTGAGGGGCTGAACACGGCCCCCAGCATTGTGTACTCTGTGCATCAGGAATGCTGTGAACGGCTTCTCCACTAGTCCCTGCACCATCTCGTGCGGCGTTCCTCAGGGCTCTGTCCTTGGTTCCCTCCTCTCCAATATCTACATGGTCCCTCTTGGTGATATCACCCGGAGACAACTTCCACATGTATGCCGATGACAACCAACTCTACCTCTCTGTCTCCATTCTTGACTCTAGGACCACTGCTGTTCTGACAGAATGTCTGTCGGACATCAAGTCCTGGATGAGAGCTAACTTTCTTCAGTTGAACTTCAACAAGATCGAGGCCCTACTGATTGCCTCAAGCGCTGACAGCATCACCATGCAAGGACGCACACTCCACCTCACTGAGTTAGTCACTAATCTTGGCGCCTTCTTTGACCCTTAACTATCCTTTCTACCCCACAACCGTGCTATGACCCTCTCTGCCTTCCCCCACCTCTGTAACTTTGCCAGGGTCCACTACTGTTTCACACTGCAGGCCGCCGAGACCTTCATACATCCATTCATAACATCCAAGCTTGACTATGAAAACTCTCTGATTGTCGGCCTCCCTAACTCCCTAATAGGCTGCAGATCATTCAGAACTTTGCAGCCCATGTCCTCTCCCGCAGCAGTCTCCATGACCCTTTCACCCCCATCCTTGCTCAAGTCCACTGGCTTCCCATTACACAGAAGATTCAGTTCAAGATCCTGGTCCTCACCTTCAAAGCCCTCCATGGCCTTGCTTTCCCCTACCTCTGCGACCTCCTAACCCTCTACCAACCTGCCCGCTCCCTCCGCTCAGCGGGCTCCGGCCTGCTTCATGTCCACGCCTCGCCTGCCCCACCGTTGGCGGGCGGGCCTTCAGCTACTCTGCCCCCACCTTCCGGAACTCCATCCCGCAATCCCTCCTCCTCGCTCCCTCCCTTGCCTCATTCAAAACCCGTCTCAAGGCCATCTACTTTGACCGTGCCTTCAATCACCCTCCTTCTCACCCTGCTCTCCACCCCCCCGATCCTGACCCCTCCAGCATGGGTCCAAAACACTGATTGTCCAGTATCTTTGGGACGTGTTCCGACGTGAAAGGTGCTACATGAATGTAATTTTGTTGTTGTTGGTTGTTGTTGAGCTGCCCCTTTTCCTCCTTTATTTGCTTAACAAATTCAAAACGTGAGGATGAGGTCTTGAAATTCATCTTATTGACCTTGAAGGAATTAAGGGCTAAATAGGCCAATCAAGATTCAAAACTAAAAGTCTCCTGTACCATATGAACAGTCAGAGATATAGCATTGTATACATTTTAGCAATTAATAAAAAGAGCTAAACCAATCTAAAATATTTGATCTGCTAGATCAGGGTGGTTCAACCGTTTGGCTGCTGAGGGCCGGATGCCCTGTTTGAGAAATGTCCGCGGACTGCATCAGCAATATTTTTGTGTTTCCCTTCCAGAAACATAACATTTACAGGATATGGAGGGGGCGGGTGAGCCAGATGAAATGGAGGGAGGCCCAGATGAAATCGGCCCGCGAACCGCCAATTGGACCACCCTGTGTTAGATGATACTGTACAAAGTATGGTAGCTCCTCCTCAGGACAGATTGTTTACCTGAGCACATCAGGTATCCTTAGCCCAGAAGGCCTGTTCACCATGGACAGGAGGCTACCTCGCGTGAGGGGCGCTATATAAATGCAAGTTGTTGTTGTAGCCCCACAAAACCATAAATAGAGTCATAAATAGAGCAAAACATAACACTGATCTTAACAAATCAATGTAATTTATGGAATAAAAATTTAAAGAGCAAGCAAACAAACAAAAATTCCTAAAGGTAAGTATTGTTTTTATGTACTTGTGAACAGACACACACACACACCAAGCATATATTAACAATTTCTACATATAATGTACATTTTAGACCTCTACTCCGTATGGTCCAGTGCTATATGTTTATCAAATCCCTGCAAAAACGTAAACTTTCAGAAAATGGGCAGAATACAGAATTCTAAGACCATGTCGCTTATTAGAGTAGCTCACTTTATTTTGTGATTCAAAAACAGAATAGGTACAATTGCCACGTTTCGACTTGTTTGGTTTAAATGATTAACATTTTGCCACATTATCAACTGAACCTTTCAAACAAGCTCTTATGATTGGCTGGTGGAGGGGGGAGTGATTTAATATCTGAGTAAAGCAGTCTTGCTCTCTTTGGTATATCATATGTTAGTGGATCTGAAATTTTCAGAGTTGGTCAGTTCAACTCCTTAAAGGCTGATTCTGTCATATTCATGGCATCTCTGAGACAGCTAGTGACAGTACCTTCATAAATTCAGATAAGGAAGTTGGGCAGCCATTGCAAATAAGACAAGAAATGGCACAAAGCCACACTTCAAGAATCAGAGAAGCAGAGGCAGTGAATGGTGCACAGGACTACTGATGCACAGCACTATAAAGTGCCATGTTCAGTCCCTCATTACCAGTCCAGCTGTGGTGTAGTGCTGCTCTTGTGTGCTTCATGGCTGCTAATTGAAAACTAGCATAGGTAGAGTTTTGGGAGCACATCGCTTATATGTGGGAAATGCGTGGTCCAGGAGAATGGAAAGGAATCAAGAATGGTAAAATAGAGATACTAACATCTGAGAGTTGAAAAGCACAGACAGAAAGAACCAGATGGAAAAGGAAGAACATTAAACAGCGTGAAGCTAAGAAAGAATGAAAGCACAGCCGTTAATGGCTAGAGGAATCTATTCTGTGCCGACAACTAAAATGTGCATTTTATTACTTGTTTACAATGGAAACGCCTGTGGAATCCACACAGGTGGAACACTTTTTTTTGGTTCATAGTATATGTGAAAAGTTAGAGTCGTAGGAGTCCTAGCATTTAAGTGATAAAATAATAATTCTTGGGTTTGATATGAGACCTTATCACATTGTTGAAACATCTCAAAGTGCTTCAAAGGATTTAATGTATAATGTTATGACTGTATACTTGTAGATAAACCTGGTAGCCAATTTGGCACAGCAATCAGCAAATAACCATGAAGTGAATGACCAAAGTACTTTCCATCTAGCAGTTTAATATATAATTTTGCCATATTTACAATATTTATGGGTATTTGTCTCCAAGGGAACTCCTTCTATTTGGTTGAATTTTGTTCGACAGGCTTATCTCGTGGCTGAAGAAACATCTTGAATCCATTAGTCCCAACATTGCCCTCAGTTTGGTTATTCGAAAAACATTTCTCAGAAAATGCTCGTACATTTGCAGCCTGTGCAACAATGTAATTTCCTTGCTGTGGTTAGATTATTTTGTGTTAAAAATGCAACTACAGCATATTGAGAATACTCCAGCAAACTGTAGCAAGCAGTCAAAACCTCACAAAGTTTTGCTTCATATAGCATCCTGGTTCAGTATATCCTGTCACACAAATCAAACTACTACAGTGTTTACCTGAAACATGCTGCTGCAGACAAATGATGGCTTTTGTGCATGAAATGTACCAGAGTGCTGATACCCATTCATATCTAAATTACAGTATATGCGGCAAGCAATTTTCAGGCAGCCAATGTAAATTGATAGTCTTAAAGGAATGGTATGCCTTAATTGGCATGCTAGGTGGTATAACACTAATACATGCTGTTCATCACCTGCTGTTTTGACAGTTTTAACTGTACAATTAAAATATTTCAAGCAGAGGAGCACTTTTGCTAAACTGTCAGGGTTGCCTTAAATGGTAGGGCTGAGCAGACTGCAACTGTAAGTCCTTCCCACCTGCAATCTACCCGTTACTCATACAGTAAAGGGTACAAAACCAGATGTGTCATATTGACTACTTCTCTACCACTCTGGAAGAAGCACAAGAATTGGGAAACAATGCAATTTGTAACGTGTGCGTTATAGATATGTGAGGGGTCAGTGATGCTCACAAAAGGTGAGAAAAGTGAAAAACACATTTCATTCCAAAGCAGCACCATCTTTCACCTTAGCATAAAATTCATCCAATCTCCAATACAGACCACCAACTGTAAAAGAAGGATGTATATGTGCATTAAGATGCACTTAAAAGAGGCATCATTGGATTCTCTAAAAACAGTTTCCAACAATTTTCTCTCCTCTTTTGAAGGTGGTCAACTTATTTTTCTTTCTACAAAGGTACAGTACCACGAAAGCCAGGTGGCAGCTGGTGTCTTGCCCAAGCGCCTATTATTCATGGGTGAGTCAACTACGAAAAGCCTGTCCTTGTCCAACGTCCACCCACACACCACTTCCAGCCGGAACCATGGCTGATTTCACTTGCCAAATTCAGCGCACTGTTTGACTCACTTGAGATCAGCTAACTTGTAATTTCAACCTTCAATCTTCTCTGCTCCTTATGGTCGACTGCTATAGGCGGTTAGTGCCTTGAATCACTTTGCTTTTGCAGTGCTCTGAATATTTCAAAATGGCAGATATGTAATTACTCTAGCAAATACAAACTATAACACTAAGGGGGTGAAATTTCTCTTCTAGTAAATCCCATTATAAGCACACATCACCAGTCATTATATTTAGCAACAAAATAAATTTCTCACCCTAGAGGTCGATACAAGGTGCAAGCATGTTTTGCGTTGAGATTATACTGTGTTATAAAGTGGTTCTGGTGCTACATTTGACACAAAGTTTGTGAAGCTTGTGGTGGATCTGGGCGATTATTCAGACAG